TGCTGTAGCGACATGTAAAAACCTTTTAATCAACTAGTAATATGTCTGTCAACCTGTCAACCTGTTTCAACCTTCACGCCAGTTACTGGAAATGGGTAACGGCGAAATTGATGGTACTTCCGGACGAATTACACTACAAACCGTAAAATTCTTTAGATAAGGATCACATATCTGTGCACAAATACAGTATATTGTGTTGCTGATATAATGATATCCATGGTGGTTGACATAGGTTTCTTCTTCATGATTTCTGGGGCTCCTGAGTGACACATAAGTGTAGTCGATATCAATAACACTGCCTGCAAGAAATGATGACGCGCGTGAAACAATATTTCTTTTGGAAAAATGGAAAATCTAACCTTCGCAAAGAACATCGAGCGGTCAGCTTACGAAGGATTGACTCACAGATATTCCCCCTGCCCCCCAACGGCACGTTGATAGCGTCCAGTTGTGAAGAATCGCAAGATAAAAATATTAAAAAGTAAGTATATACAGTTTATATTGAGTTTATCTGTAAATATTGCTGTTATTCTCTGGCCTTTTTGCTGGCTATCAAGTTGGAAAACTATTCAACTAAATCTGATGTTAATCTGTATATGTGGCTTCTGGAACACAATGGCAGTCAAGTGGAAGGAATTTTCCTTTTTACGGAGCAAACGTCTATCCAATGAAGAAGTGCAGAAATCTCCTCATCTAGGAACAACACATATGCCAAATACTCAGTAACTTAGGTAATTTTCCGATTCTCTTTACTTTATTTTAACTTTAGTGAAATATCAATCTTTTTTCGATGACGCTAACAACACTTTAACGTCGCTTAGCTAGCGATTCGTCGAGTTGTTTATGTCAACAGCTGATTTAGCGATAACGAATATCGTTAAAATTATCGTCTTCAAAATCTTCCTTTTTGAGCTTATCAACTTTAGCATTAGCCGCATTAGCCACATTCATTATCTCCTCGTTGATATTAAAGACCTTTCATTTTTAATTTTTTTTTAATTTATGGAAATCACCAGAAATCACAAGGTGCTGTATTCGGGGAATGTTGTGCTGAACGTATTTCGTCGGTCCCAGAGATGGCAATAAAATTACTCCTTATTTCGGCAGTGTGAGATGGCGCGTTGTCGTGATGTCAAAAGTAGCGCCGCAAATACTCTTTCTTCCTGTTTCCAACAAATTTTTGAAAACTTTTGGTAAGCACTCTTCGGTTTGCCATTTTGTAGTTACCTTCTGAGCCTTTTCCAGTGGAATATCAACTACGAGTTTAGATCGGGTAACCAGTAAACTGACATAATTTTTTTTTGCTGCTGTTTTTTGTTGCTTAGATTTGACGGGTGGGTGTTTGTTCCTGTTGGGCTCCATACCATGGACTACAGTTTGGTTTCTGGATCGCACTCATAGAATCAAGATTCGTCACCAGTAACGGCTTTTCTAAAGTTCATAGACTGGCCATTGGCGAATTCGCTCAGGAAAAATTTTGCAAAATGCAGTCGAGCCTCTTTTTGGGTCTCATTTAAAATTCGTGATACTTATCGAACAGATTTTTTGGTGTATCCCAGATGATTACTTAATTTTCGCGATAGCAATCAGCCACTTCATGAATCAGTCGTGGAGTTCAATCTTGGACTTCATTAGAATTGCAGTGACGTCATCAGTGGAAGATTTTGGTCAACCTTCTCGGCGCTCGTTCTCTTTGAAAAAATTTACGGTCTGGAATCTTCGGAGCCATTTAGAAATTGTTTTTAAAACCGGTGCAATCATTCCATAAGCACATTGGCTGTAAATTAAGTCGAAACCCAAAGAGGTTAAGTCTGATCTATCCTCAGCTATCTTACCTTATCTCGTCTCTATTTTAGCCGTTCGTTCTAAAATTTGAAAGGAAGACTAAAAAAGTAATTGCAAAGGTTTTGGTATTATTAGATTTAATAAAAACCATTTGGAAGTCACCAACTGACCAAGCTTTTGTTAATCCCCTCGTATCTACAGTGTAAAGGGACAAAGTTATTATGTTAAAATAAAATATTGAAATCTTAGAACTTCGTCAAACTTAGATACCGAAAATTGGGTTAAAACTCACGTGAACAATTCTTAATTACTCCGTAAACAGTTAAGCAACAATAAAAGATAATAAATTAAACTGAACTAAATATATTTTTATCATAAAAATATGTACATATACAGATATGCATACATATGTAAATAATTATATCATAAAAAGCTTATTTATAACTGTAGCCTTCTGGGCTAAATTGTGGTGTGTTGACAACAACCTATTTATTATTGTTGTGTTGACCCTTTTTGAGTGCAATACCTTTGCAACAACTATTTATACACCGACATACCTATATGCATACACGTATGTACGAGTACCTATGTATATGAATTAATATTGTATTGCACTGTATTAAAGTCTTCTATTGTTTTAATTATAAACTTCAACAAAAACTTTACACACTCGCATGTGCAGTGAATTAACAGTATATACACGCACCATGCGCACACACATATACACACATTTTTAAATAAACAAAACATTAAATAATAACAAATAAAATGTCATATGTGAGTGCGCGTGCAATGAGACAACAACACCAAAGAGAGCTCACTTGATTGTGTTATCATTTAACTTCAACTATTTTTGTTGTTGTCCACCTTTACGCCTACAATGAACGTGCAGTGAGCCCTTTCATTACACTCACTTATGCAAATCGCAGCAACACGATCACTAAAGTCTGCACATATAGAGTCTTCAGGCGATCTGTCTCCCTGTCAATCACCCGGCCAGCGAGCCACACGCCAACTAGTCAACGAACCAGCACCAGCCAACTGCATCAGCCAGACACATTCCTGCGTCGCCGTGGTCACCGTGTGTGCGTGCGCGTTGCGATAATTATAAATTCAAATGCCGGCGTGCAGGCGTCGTAGCGCCGATGACCGCCCCCGCAAGTCGTTGCGTTCAGCAGTTGTAGTGGTGCAGTCATGCAACGACTTTTCATTCGTTCCGACAATCGGTTCGATGCGGTTGCAGTTGCATTTTGGTTTTCGTGCCATAAAATGTTGCAGCAACATATACAATGCAGTAGTTGGGAGGGATAGGAATGTAAATATGCGTTTTGGTTAGATTTTAAAAATACTGGAAAATTGATGGATGGTGTTCAACTAAGTAAACGGAGAAATGTTCAAGGATTGAGCCCAGTCAAATTTCGGCCAGTTGTAAGAGAGCTGTTGGTATAGTTTTTGTAATAACAGTTATTCTTAAAAATACGATCAGCACAATCCCGATCGAAAAAGCAGCTTTGCAAAGCAGTCGATTTGTCAATCGTTTTTTTATGTTTTATATTGGATTAATTTGTGATAGATCGCCTTCGGTTTAAGTGTGGGAAGCACTCGCTTAGCGCTTATTTGCTTAAAGCATTGGCAATTATACCCTCAATTGTCTACTAAAGCTTTACCTTTTGCCACCCGCCGCAACTTCCCATAGTATTTCCGAGCATTATTCTTGTTGATCATTTCCTCAAGCTCTTCACAATCACTCATTTCGGCCTTTCTCTTTTTCTATCAAGAAATGGATCTCGTTTATCTCTTCAAATTTCGGTGTCATTCTCGAATGGCACGTATCGCACTCGATCGTAGCGTTATCTATTATTTTAGTATTTCCTCTCTTCACTGCGATGCGACAATTCTCACCATACCAGCTCTTCCTTCGGCATTGTCGGAAAGCCAATAGTATCTTCGGTGGTAGTGCATATGAAAGCATAAAATTCCATTCCACTACTATTTTATACTGGACTGCTGTCGAGTGATCTTAAAGAGCTAGTCGAGTAAAAAACGGCTTCAATGTCGCTTTTATTTACTCTACTTCAAGATAGTAGTTCGAGTCAATATTGGGTCGTCGGAGGTCATGCACTTCTACAACACTGGATATTTGTCTTCCGTATATCGCAACCTGATCAACTTGGTTGCGAGATTTTCGATCCAGGGAGAGCAATGTAGATTGACAAACAACTATATTTGGAGTACGGCCGAAATGGATTTGCTAAATTTTCCGACTGGTGTATTGAACACAATTTTCACTTTGTTGCAGCGACAGTGCTCAGAGGTTTGCTCCAGGCGCTTATAAAATATATTTTTGGCCCCATCGGTCTTTTGTTTTGGGTATGTGTCGAAAAACTTCACTTTGATGTGAATTATGGCTATATACTTATCGACCAGATTGATTGATAATAGCCGACGACGGAGTCTCTCTTCAACCACGAAGTTGATACCAAAGTTGAGCTCTTTTCTATTTACTAGAATAAGTCTTTAGCGCATATTGGTTTCCAAGCGTCGCATTTTTTGGACGACGGTACTCAAATAAGGAGATCCTACATTACATGGTTGCCCTTCACATACTTGCAGTGATCATTGTCACATGTTAGGTCTATCATCTGACACTCCAAGCCCGGAACACAAGCTCCGTAGGCGAGCACATATAAATTGAGAACACATTTGCTCGAATTGCAGCCGCACTTCAAATGAACAGAAACCGCAAAAAGACTCTAGTGTACACTTAAACCGAATACGTTCAGAGAGCGCCACTGAAGCTCCGTCTCTTTTAGTGGTGACCCAAGGCCCTAAAAGCGCTAGTTACCGCAACTTGTATGCTTTCCAGGTTTGAGACGACGACGCAAGAGTAAAAATTGTGACTGCATACCATGAAGCTTAATTATTTTTATGTTATGGAGTTTTCTATTTTGTTTTATTTTATTTTTTTTTTTTTTTGATACTTTTTTCATCAAATTTTAACATTTCAAATTTGTTAAAAAATTACTAAAAAAATATCTTTATGGTCCTCCTCTCAAAACCTGCATGATCTTGGGGGTAGCTGAACACACAAATGTTGCGCTTAACCTGTTGGCTGACTGGCAACATGTTCCTAAACATTCAGTTTGTCGTCTTTGGTTGCGGCGCTGTGTTCGTTGGGGCTTCTTTGTTGGTTCGCTCAGTTTTAAAGTGAAGTTCGTGTCGATCGGTAGTGGTTTTGTTGGGATCGCGCGCGTCTACTGATAGCAAATTCAAATAGTTTGTAATATTCTGCTCCGCAAAAGCAAAGTGAGTTGAATTAGGTGAAATATGTGTGTGTGTGTGTGCGGTGGCTCAGTAAACTTAAAGTAGTTTGAAAGTGTTTCTTTATGGAGCTGAGTTTTTAAGTATTCTTTGGTTTGTTTTGAATATCTTTATGGTAAATTAACCTCTCGAAATGTGCGTTCGATTGGTAATTTGTAATTAGCAACTTGTGTGAAGTGTGAAATACTTTTTAGTATTCCTTGAATGTAAAAAAATCTGAAATATTATTATTATTTTTTTTTTTATTGTTTTATTGTTTAATTGTCAGCAAATGTGACGAAAATTGAATAATGTTGGTGCTATAAAAAGATTTATTATTATTATTTTTTTTTTTTTAATATTTTGTTGTTTTTTTTTTGCACACACATGCACAGGTAGACAAGTGTAATTAAATATGTTTGTGAAGAAACGTGACAAAACCAGAAGTCTAACTTGAAAGATGACTTAGTTGTTACTGTGGGAGGGGGGTTTTGCTAAAGCCGGCAGGGGAACGCTTGTGTTGTATTTGTTAATTGTCGGTGAATCGTTTCTTTTTATTTTGGGAAAATATCAACGAAAATGTATGAATATTATATAGAAACTTGTGCATATCGATGGCTTCAAAAACTGCTTAGTTCGGGTGGTTGGCTCAAGCAAAAAGTGCTGTCTAAAGAGTTGCAAATCGGCGCCGGCAGTGACAATTATGACAATTTGTAACGCACTATAAACATTTCTACGTACATTTGTATTTTTATTGAGTTGGTGTGGGCATGCAGGGGTGTTTTATGTTTTTTAGCGTAGTATTTTTTATTTTTATAACACACATACATTTGTGTATGTATATTCTAAGTGTACGTATATTCTAAGGTCAGTGTCCAAATATGTATGTTTTTGAGTATGTACATACCTATATACATATGTATGTGTTCTACGAACGGAAGTGGAGCATATGTGTTGTGTTAAATGTGCTTGGCATCAACGACATTAATAATGTGCAGCAGAGCGCATAATTACAGTAACCGAAAATATAAATTAAAATTTGTAAAAAAAAGTAAAAAAAAATGCATATCAAAAAATTAGATCTAATCCGGTCAGCGTTGTAGCACTTGATTTATGGGCAATATTTCAAAAAAATTAAAAATGTGCATTAATACATACATATGTGTGTGGATAAAATGTGTGCGTGTAGTACACGTGTGTAAATTTATATACATCTATATATATGTAGCTATGTACATGTTCTTGATATTTACTTGTTTACATGAAGTAGAAGCATTTTTTTTCTATTGTTAATTTATTTTTAATTTTGTAACACTTGAACCTATCGCCGCTTGGGAATACATACATATGTGCATTTGTATGTATGTATGTATGTCTGTATGTAAATTTCTGTTTAAACATGACCTTTTGACTTTTGTGGCACTTATTATGCATGTTCCTTTTTTGTATTTGTTTTTGTGTTTACTTTTATGCCACATATACGAGTACATATTTGTATACATATACTTATATATACATACATTCTCGGTGTTCTTGTTCTTGCTTTTGTTGTTTTATTGGTTAGTACCGATGTAGCAATAATTCAGTTTATGAAAAAATTAAAAAAAAAAACCAAAACCGCGCGCCTTTCAGATTAATAATAATTGTGCTTGCAATGCTTCACTGCGTTCGTCTACCACAATCATACACACATCAACAAACAAACATACTCATCGTGAGTAGTGTACAAGTATGTTGTTGATTTGTTGTGATGCCGATGCTGATGCTGATGCTGATGCTGTTGTTGTTAGTCGACCAAAAATAAAAGAGAAAAAAAATATAAATAAATAAAAATAAATAAAATCGTGATAAGGCAAACCAGTTGGTGCAGTGGTATTTGTATCTAGGTATAGTCCGGTATGCGTTGACCCTGTAGGGAAATTATAGTGTGATGATTGAGCTAAAAACCGGTCAGTATTCCTATGATAGAAGCTTTTGTTGTGAGGTTTTGATCGAATTTAATAAGATGTATTCTGATTGTGTTAATGATTAAATTATCTATTTTATTTTATTAATTTTTTATTTTTATTTTTCTATTTATGATACATGCTTGTACCCAATATGCTAATTTCGGCCGCGGTAATAACTATTCTCAAAACAAATGCTTAACTAAGTTAAAAAAAATTTATTTTAATGAAAAGAACTTCAAGTAAATATAATTACAAGCATGATTTTTTTACTGATCCAGTTTCCAGATTTTTTTAACAAAATTCCTGGGAATCAGAAAAATACGGACAAATTTCACGCATAATCTGCTGGGTGGTTTCGGAAAACAATCATACATAAAAACAAAAGGGAGACATAATTCAATAAAATTGCACCTGTTCTTTCTAAGATTTTAAAATTTTGGCGTTATCTCAGTTAAAAACAAACAGTCCTGTACAGTGATGTTAAATCATTTCGTGTCGAGTTACAACATCTGTGAACGTAACGGCAAAAATAGGAAAGAAATTTACGTGATATGTCAATCGTGTGAACGGAAAATGACGCTGTTTATTTTTTTATATTTTAATTGAATTGATGATCGAAATGATTAAAACCAAGAATGAAGACCTGGGGTCGAATCTAGCGTTCCATGAACGTATCGGCAGTCATACGAAAGAAAATTCCGAGATACGTAAATCGTATAAAATTATTGAAATGATGTCATACGAAAGCAAATTAGTTGAAAATGTAATATATTTCATCTTCAGCTTTTACATTATTCTCTTACAATTTTGCCCAATAAAAGCAGTTATGGGCGGCGTTTTACTTTTTTGTTCATCATCCGATAAAAGTGCTGTCGATGAATGAATTGTAAGGAGGCGGTTAAGGAATTTGCATGGTCTCTTCCATGGCTGCTTTAAGTGCGGCTGCTTCTATAATCATCTCAACCATTTGAGTAACCTCTTCATAGGGACAACAACCCGTTTGTTTTCTTGAGACGCTGTTGGCTGAAAGCTTTCTGTTGTTCGATGTTCTTCAGTGGCCACATTAAGTCCCAAACGACATATCCGAAGAAATCGGTTGTATGAGGTATACATATGATAGTCCTCCGAATTCGATGATTTTCGGCTGCAATATTTATTTGTAGATACGATTGCATAATAGCGAATTTGATACTCTTATCTGCTCTTTTGACTGAGTTTCGACAAAACTTCAAACCTGAAAAAATCGGTCTATCACATACTCGTATGTGTTATAGTTGTCCAATTTCGATCATTTTCAATACCAACGAAAGGCTCAAATCTGAAAAATCCGTCGTACATATACTTCAATGGTCCGATCTAGCTGGTTTCGACAAATGATTGTTAAATGTAACTGTTCATCGGTGTGCGAAGTTTGCTTGAAATATCTCAAAAACTGCGTGACAAGTTTGCGTACAAATGGACGAAAAAGGGATATGGCTAAAATTCAACTCGTCATTCTGACCCGATCGATAGAAATTTTCATTTGTGAATCTCTACTCTTTCTCATGATTCGGACGAAAATTAAAGGCATAAATAAATTCTGTTATTATGGCACGTCTCAAGTTTATCCAATAACCGCTTTTTAGAGATTTCGTTGGTGGTATTTTTTTTATTAGGAATTTTTATCAGCGTGAACTTATTAATAGCAAAACCTTTCTCTAAGATTCTAACAATGTGCTCTTAATATTTTCCTTTCCTTTACTAAACCCTCACATTCTCATTTGGTGGCTCTACGGAGATAGTTCATTTCATAGCAGATTTGTCGAAGAAGCAAACTCTTATCAAATTTTTATTTTTGAACTAAATTCTCTATATTGTAATTGGTGGTAAAATGGTATAAAATATTTATTTATCTATTTGCACAAATGTATTTTGAATTAGCCAATTGTCCCTTCATGGCTGCTATAATCCCAAATTACATGACTTCGGCTAGTAAAATGTGGGTTTATTGAAATGAACCTTGCTCTGGAACTACGAAATATGTTTCCAATTATTCTGAGGTCAATTTTTGTATCCCAGAGAAGCAGAGAAAGTTGCTCGTCTAAAAAAATACACAAACAATTTTATATTTTGTGCAACTTGAGATATATTCTCAGTTAAGGGTATATCTACAAAATTATTATTTTTTATTATTTTTTAATGAGGCACTTAACGTCAAAAATACCGAAAAATTGTGACACAGACGTTTTTTCGCTTCATTCACACATTTGGAAAACCGTGTGCTATTTCGCCTTCCGTTAATTTCCAACAGGGCATTTATGTGTGTTGCTGCCTTCATTGTCATACACTTAGAAATGTAGTAGCAGAATTGAAGAACTCTGATCTTTGATAATGTTTTTTTTTTCATATGACCTATGTATCTAAATTTGGATCTACATGCGTGTATATATCTTTGTAATGCGTAGAATCTAAAGAAAAAAATAAATTTAAATACAAAGTAAGTGATGATGATTGATTTAAATTGTAAGCTATGAGTTCACGAAAGATTATGTTACTTGGAATTGATTCGTTATTGACTACCGATAATAAAAGCAGGTGACGCACAGAAACATAGGAGATAATTGAAATAGATTTCTAGGCGTTTATTGTATTGTTAATATAAAAATATAGAGTGATTCATTTCGTGGTTTCAAAAAATACAGCGCCATATTTTGGCATCTGTTAAATCAAACATAGTTTTTTCAGTTAAATGTCAGATATTTATTAAAATGGATCGCTTAATAACCGCACAATGCATGAAAATTGCTAAAACCAACTACAAAAATGGTGACTCAAATTTGGCCACGTTTCGCGCTTTAAGAGGAGATTATGATACATAAACTCGTCCGACTACTCAGCAGTTGTTAAAATTTTAATGAAATTTGAAGAGGCCGGATCGATTTCAGCTGGGACTTTCTTACGGCACTTTATGGTGCCACATGCCACAGAACACTATCGAATATGGCTCTGTTGTCACTTGTGGACATTTTTGGTAGGGCTACAAGAGACATCGTGTTTTAGCGGATAAACCTCGAACGT